CCCCCCCCCCCCGGATGAACTTATTCTTTCACTTTTTAACAGAACTTTTGTTGAAAGATTAATTTCCGAACTTTAGATGGAAAGTGTGAAACAAACGCATAAGTTTTTAAAAATATGAAAGAATACTTTCAAAAAAACAAACACGCCCTAAGGTTCCTCAGGACGCGGATAATAAACCATCAAATCACTTTGACTTTAATTTTTAGAATTTCAATTTTTCTCTGAATAGATTCAGAACTCTTTGTTTCCCTAGAATGGAAGCCAGAAAAGAATTAAGACTAGTCACATAAGCACAGATGCACAACACCCTCTCCTTGTTGAATGTAAACTCACTCAAAATTTTTAGGACTCTTCATCCCCTCAACCCTTAGTGTGAAATAGCTTTTAGTAAAGGCATTTTATGTCATTAACAGTGGTAGGAGGAAACTGATGATGAAAGATAAGGGCATTATCTAGTTGTTGAAATCTTTAATTGTCTCATTTTGGTGATTCAATAAAAACCAGGTGGACCTCAACAAAGAGCTTCATCTCCACACCAAGGCCGAAGGGCATCACTTATAAAATAGTTTGAGTGGATTAAATATAGGTGTCGTTCGTTTGAGACAAACTTCAACTTTTGACCTCCAGAATGCAAGAAGAGATTTGTCACTAACTAGGACTCAGAGACATACATCCATCTGTGAATGGACACATACATGCATGCATGCACAGAAAATGTTTGAGCAATATTGAACGAACTTTAAAATGAATAACAATTTGACTAAAGCAAAGAAAATGCCACTAACATTAGGACCTAAGAGATCAATTATAAAATATGTTAGCAACTGACAAAAAAAATAAAATGATAATGAATAAAATGAATGTCATGTTCATATGAAGTTCCACACCACCACCACGAGAATGAGAATGGAACCACAACAAAGTATTGCGACTGCACATATATATTTGTATAGAGACTTTGGCAGTTTACAAAAAATGACTAAGGACAAATTTGGGGTGTGAGCAACTTAAACAAAGATCAAGATTAAATTCTAAGAGATTGGTAATGAAAAGGTAAAATCCATGTGCATATCACTTGAGGACAAGATCAAATTAATTGAGAGCAAAGCCATTTAACAATTAGTGCTAACTTACTAAGTGTTACACGTTTTGCATGTAAGGTGCATAAAAGTGCATCTTCAAATAAGTTCACCAAAAATGCCTCAGTTGCCTACAAAAACAATCGCAGTCACCAAAACGGACATGAAAAATTGGAACATCAAAATAGCTATAAGAGTGTTACATAACTAATAGATACCTTCAATCCCATGTACCATTTAAAAAACAATACCCCAACATCTTGGAAGGCATCCTCACAACTTACATATAAAGATTCCATCTAATCAGATCAACAGCTTCATAGTGTAGACTAACTGCAAGATGAGAAAATTTTGTCTAACACGTGGAACAAAAGAAAATGCAACTTGGTGATCTTTATAAAAACCCACAAATATAATTAATTGTTATAACACATTATATCCACATAATAGCAAACAAGCGCACCTTAAAGGCATTTGTCTATTTATCCTTCTTTTATGTAATCATATGAACCACGTTGGCCAAGTGATTAATGGCAAACCCTTTTTCAAGGTTCTACGTTGCCACATTGCGTTCTACATTAATTGGGATTCTCCGCCGATGACTGTCACCTTTTCATGGAACTTCATTGAACTATAGAAAAATGGAAGCGTGAAGCCCTTATGAAAGATTTGGGTATGGAATGAGGAGAGGAGGAGAAACATGATAATACATTTGGATCAATGCAAAGATTACAAGACAAAATAACCATTTTCGTCACTCAGAATTCCTTTATCATTTTGCTTCCTCAATTCTAAGAGCACAACTAGCTCCGTCTTCATAAGCTCTATCTATCTGATAGCAGGCATTTAATACAAGGGAGAAAAGGCACTTCTTTTGTTCCACCCCGTAAAGATATCAAGCAAAACAACACAATAAATATTTCTAAGTTGCAGCCTCCCTTCCCCCTTAATCCATCCCCTCTCTTCCAAAATTGGAAAAAGACTCAATTTAGAAAATTGAAAACCCCAGATGAATTAGTAAACATTTTTTATTAAGGATTGGATCAGATTATTTTGGGAGGGGAATGGGGTTTAAGAGAATCAAAAACAGTGACCCAGGAAGGCAAATTATGGAACAGAGGCTCCAAGGAAGACACTTTCATTTGTTACTACAAATTGTGTTCGTCATGGAAAAACTTTTGATACCAGTTGCTATTCATACCATTGGTGATTGACCTTATTCTGTTTTTTCTTCAATTAAAACTCCCTATTGTGTTTTTCTCCTTTTAAAAATGAATTTTTCTTACTGATCCAAATAGGGATGACTCCGACAACACAAAAGGATTCAGAACCCAAATATTTTGGTCAAGTATAGAAAAGAAAATAATTTTTTGACAATGATGCACCAGATGGTAAAATTCCAGGAAAGCACGAGGGCTGATGCAATAGAAAACAATTAAGAACGTTCAAAGACAAAAAATTCTTGTACAAATTTAACTAAGAACAATTTTTTTAAATATGACTCACCAAACAATTGAATTCCATGAAAGTGCATGAGAAAAATAACCATCAAGTTCAAACCAGAGGTGACAACAACAAAAGGTTATAAGACATAAAAGACATAATATGCCATTTTGAGTAGCACATGAGCAATGAATAATGATTTACAACAAACACATAACATGCCAGACCTCGTTGTATCTTTAGCAATACAGATACCTCAGTTTCATCAACTTCAAATCTTATAATAGATACATATTTCATAACTTAGAAAAGCTATCAACAAAGATATTGCAATGAGCACAGAAAAACTTAACTTCTTTTTTGATGAGATATTAGTGCTGGATCTAATAAGTAACTAAAAATATATGCATCATGTCACTTAGAAAAACATGAAGCATGAAAAATAATCTAGAAAGAAAGCATGTCTGACCCATAAAATAAATAAATAAATAATAGCAAGTTAAATGATTCAGTAATGAAAATGCTAAGGAAATAATTAGCAATTCAAGTACCTCTTGAATTGCTACTAATGCCTCAGCAGTCCAACGTGTAACTTGATTGGTATATTGCTGGGTAACTTCCCTAACCTAGAGTAACCACCAAAAGACAATAAGCTTCAAGCAATCCATATTCAGTTATAACTTGTTTATATAGCATCACAAAACAAACAATTATAAAACTCATCAGTATTAATAGTATGCGTTCACATACTAAAATATAAGTCCCCCTTTTGATACAAGAGTAAAAAGTCAACAGTAAAACATTTCTACGCCCATAATACTATTGGGCTCACACCATTCAAGCCCTCTTGCAACTATGTGGATGCACGCAACGAAGCATTACTCTTTCGCACAAAATATTAAATATTTTGCATGTATGTTGGAGTGGGAAACGCAAAAAAAACAAGCAACAAGCAAAGCACAAAATACAAGATTTTACGTGGTTCACCCTTTCAACCTACCTCCATGGGCAAGAGACAAACAATCCACTAAACAAGATTTGGGGTACAACAATTTGGCGAAACAAATCAACTTCTTCAAGGAGGAAATCTCTATCTTGGGTTTCCTAGTTCAAGAGCTCTCCTTTTGGTTTACATCTCTCTCTTTCTCCCTAAAAGGCTCTTTGATCTCTCTATCTTCTATGAGGCACCCTTTTCCCTCTCTAGAACACCTACAAATGAAATCATAACACATATTTTGTGTTGATTAGGGTTAGGTTTAACGCTTTCAACTTATGCCCCTTCCCTTTGGGCAATACCATAGGCGCCACCCCCTTTTTCTTAATATCAATGGGGTGCCTTACCCCTTTTACGCAATACCATCGGATTCACTCCCCCATGGGGCGGGGACACCCAACAATCTCCCCTCCAATCCCATGAGGAGAGCTCTACTTTGCAATAACTTGGTGTTCAATTAGCACCCATTTCAACCATGCTTTTGCATATTTCCTGCTTGTATCTTGCCAAGGTCTTAGCCATCATATATTTTACACATTCTTGTTGGTATGATTTTCTCAAGTTACAACAAAATTTCTTCTCAAGGACATCCCAAATCCAGGGGTAATGCCCATTAATGTGCTTCATCCCTGAATGGAAACTTGGATTCTTCCTCAAGTGGGTAACACTTTGGCTATTGCAGTAGACGATACTTATCCTGTTCAACCCCAAGTCTTAGAGAAAACTATTCATCAAAAATATCTCTTTGCAGCCTTTTGTGACTACAATATATTCGGCCTATATTGTCAACATGGCCACAACCTTCTGCAGTTTGGACAACATGATATAGCTCCCCCTGCAAAAGTAAACAGGTATCCCCAGGTTGACTTCTTGAAGTCTATATCTCCATTAATTCCCACATCTATGTAACCATGTAGGAAAGGTTTACCTTCCCCAAAGCTCAAGCACACTTTATATATTCCTTTAAGATATTTGAAAACCCACATGATCGTTGCCTAATGTTCTCTTGCCAAGATTTATGATTAATCAGCTCAGTATGCACAGTGTGTGCGATATCTGGCCTCATGCACACCACAGTGAACATAAAGCTTCCTACACCCAATGCTTATGGTATTTTCTACATCTGTTGTTCCTTCTCACTTGAAGGGCTTTGTTTGGCACTTAGCTCCAAGTAACCACCAAGTAGGGAACCAACAGGTTTCACCTTATATGTATTGAACCTTTCAAGTACCTTTTGGATGTATCTTTCCTGTGACAACCACAGTTTCTTCATGCCAAAAGCTCTATTGAGCTGGTACTAAGCCTTTTTGGCAAGGGTCTTGCTCAAATCTTGCTTTCAACCTCTTAATTTTAACTGTATCCTAACCTACAATCGACATGTCATCCAACTTACAATAAAAGGATGAAAAAGAACTTTTGATGAACACAGTAGTCTAAGGTTGTTATCTTGTACCAATGATTCCAGATTAAGGAATCAAACCTTTTTTACCATTGTATTGGGTCCTGTTTGAACCCATATAGGCTTTTGTTCAGCTTGTAGACCATCTGCCCCTTTCCTTTTACCTTAGGTCCCTTTGGTTGCTCTGTATATACCTCTTCCTCCAAATCACCATAGAGAAAGAAGTCTTGACAACTAACTTTTCAATTTCTGGATTCAAATATACACTCAGTCCCAATACCACGCAAATTAATGACATTTTCACCTCAAGAGAGAAGATTCTATTAAAATCAATGTACATCTTCTCAAAACCCTTCACAACCAACCTTGATTCGTGCATTGGTTGCGAGCTCTTCTCTTCGGTCTTCAGCCTGAATACCCACTTGTTCTTCAGTGCCTTCTTCCCATTGGCAACTTTATTGGGTTATAAATCCATATCCTCTTGCATATCTTTAACTCACTCCTTGTGTTCATTGATCAGAGCTTCCTGATAGTTTTTTGTTTCACCCCTTTCAATTACTGTTGCAAGGTTTGAGGGTTTGTGTTCCTTAGAGGACCTTCTTCGTTTAATTGGCGGTGACACATCTTGGAAAATTTGCTTCCTTTGCTCTATCACCCGAAACAAGTATGTCACTCTCTTGGGATCCATCATCTTCTTGAACTTCTCCCCATTTTCATCACGCACCACGATGGGACGGGCTATGACCAATTCTTGTGAATCATTAAAATACGTGGCTTATGTGGTTTCTTCAGGTCTTCAATGGTTAGGTCTTCTTGAAAGATCACATTTGTAATCCTGATCACCTACTTGTTATCAGGATCCCATAGCTTATAGTGGAACTCTTCATCTAAGTAACCTTATAAGATGAATGGGAATGTTTTCTCATCCAACTTGGATTATTATTCCTTTGGAATGTGTACGAATGCCTTGCACCCGAACAACCTCAAGTGTAAATAAAAAATATCTTTACTAGTTCAAACTCTCTTGGGGATATCATCATCAAACAGAAGGAAAGAAATTTATTTATTAGGATGCATGTTGTTATGACTACTTCACCTAAGTACGGTTTTGGTAACTTGCCAGTGGATAGCTTGCTCCTAACTCTCTTTGTAATGGTGCTATTCATTCTCTCTGCTACACCATTATGCTGGGGGTTATATGGCAATGTCTTCTCATGCCTTAGAACATGTTTGGAATAGTAACTTCTAATGGCATTTGAGGCGTACTCCCCTCCATTGTCTAATTAAAAATACATCCTTCAACAACTTGCATGTCTCCCTTTCGACCTTTGCATGGAAGTTCTGAAAGATCTCAAACACCTTAATTTTTTATTTCATCAAGTATACCCACACCTTTCTTGAAGCATCTTCTATAAAGGCATAAATTACGAAGCACCACCAAGAGACTTCACATCCATGGACCGCACATCTAAATACATCAGATCCAAGATTTTTGTGTCAACAATAAAGCTCTTATAGTAAGGAGACTATGTTGCTTACAAACGAGCAGTGGTCACATGGGTTCACAGATGTATTCTACATATTGGGAAGTATCTGCTTCTTTACTAAGATCAGTATTCCTTTTTAAGTCATGCTGCCAAGTCACATGTGCCACAAGTCTAACGAGAATTCTTCTATGGTAGCATTAATGTAGCCATTGGAGACTTGCACATGTGTTTAATAGACTTAACAACACTTCTTTTGTTTTGCAACAAGGGATTCCTTTGTTAACTTCCAATGTCCCTTACCAAACACTAAGTGATACCCTTCATTATCTAAGTACCCTCTTGAGATGAAGTTTAGACGAAGACACAATACACGTCCGACATACTTTAGTACTAGCTTCATCCCAACATTAGTCTTGATGTAACCATTGTTCCGCATATTTATAAACCAAAATATCCTGCTCTATATGAAGCAAAATAATGTCTGTGGGGCAATATGAAATGATGCTCTGGTGTTGACAACCATGTCAGAGTTACATAATGTCGATGCAATACTTATGCATTCATCATCATAGCTTCCGACCACCACATCTTCTATGATGGTCAATGGTTTCTTTGTCACCATTCTTGCCATTATCCTCATTTTGTCTCTCTTTAGCTTCCGAAACTCTTTCTTCATGTGCCCAGCCTTGCCACAATGAAAACATGTGATACCCTATCTTAAATTTGATCTAGTTTTATCCTTAGATCGACTACTTTGGCCCAGCCCCTGGAGCTTCCTTAATTTGTGACAAGAGGTTGATGTGTTGGAGGATATTCGTCTCATCTCCCTATTCAATAGACTGCTCGTGACCTGACTCATGGTCAATTTCCCAATGCGAAGTTGCCTAGGGCAATAACCATTCTCTCAATTGTCAGATAACGAACTAAACAACAATAGAGCCTACAGTTTGTTATTTAGGGTTAATGTTGCGAGTTGGTTAACAATGTTTTATATTTGATTTAAGTGCTCCACAGTAAACCCCCAATTCTAAACTTCAGGTTCACCAAATTCCTGATCAAGAACACCTTATTCCCAATTGTCTTCTCTCTTACAAGTTTATTTAGCTTATTCCACAGCGACTTGGTGGATGTCTCATTTAACACATGGTGGAATGCAATGCCATCAATCCATTGTAGAATTTTCCCAATAGCCGTTCGGTCAAACTTCTTCCAATCTTCCTCAGTCATGTCTTCAGAGTTGTGTTCTACCCCTTCAATGGGTACATACAAGCCCTTACAATATAAAAGATCTTTCATCTTCGGCTTCCAGATGCTCCAACTATTCCTGATGACTAATATCATTTGGTACTAGATCCATCTTACAGCCTACACACAGCTCAAAATAATTTCACTCACTAGTGGGCTCCAGATGTCGCCAGTGGACTTTCACTAGTTTTAGTCGCCGCTGCCAGGGGACTTTCACTAGTTTTCAATGTTGTCAGCCGACTTTCATGCCTCTAGATGCTACTTGTAGGCTTTCGCCAACTCTAGATGTAACCGATGGACTTTAACCAGCTCTAGATGCCTCCAATAGACTTTAACTGGCTCTAGATGTTGCCAATGGATTTTCATTGGATCTAGATGTCAGCAGTGGACTTTCACCGGCTCCACATGCCGCCTATGGATTTTCACCAACTCTAGATGCCAAAAACCGAATTTCACTGGCTTCAAATGTTGTTAATTGATTTTCACCTACTCTACATGAACACTTTCACAAGTGGTTCAAGGCAATACCAAACACTCTGTGTATTGGAAGTCGCAAGGATCTTACCATTTGGAGGTTTCTTCCTTGCTCATCGTATAGGTCTCACTTCACTAACAAGTGGTGATTGTATGACCAATGATGTATCAAAGTTAAGGGAATCGAACTTTGATACCGCTTTGTTGGGCTCATATTGTTCAAGCCCTCTTACAACGATGTGAATGCGTGCAACGGAGCCTTACTCCTTGGGACAAAATATCATATACATCATGTGAATGTTTGTAGGAGTATGAAACAAAGAAAAAACAAGCAACAAGCAAATCACCGAAACACAATTTTATGTGGCTCAACCTTTCAAGCCACTTCCACAGGAGAGAGATAAACAATCCACTAAAAAAGTGGTATAACAAGGATTTGATGGAACAAATCACCTTCTTTCAAGAGGCAATCTCTCCCTTGTGTTTCCTACTTCAAGGGGCTCTCCTTCTCTTGGATTACAACTCTCTCTTTCTTTAAGAGGCTCTTTGATCTCTTAGGGCATCTCTAGAGGTTCTCTCTTGGATTCTCTCTCTCTTCCAAGAGGCAATCCTTTCTCCGTCTATAATACGTACAAATAAGGTCATAACACATATTTATGTGTTGGTTAGGGTTAGGTTTGATCATTTCACTTATGCCCCATCCTTTTGGGCAATACCGAAGAGGTCCAACCCCGTTTTCTTAATTTCAATGGGTTCCCTTACCCCTATTACATAATACCATCGGGTCCCTCCCTCATGGGACCATACAACCAACAAAAACACTAATGCAATCTTCGTCATATCCTTTAGAAGATGGCCCGTGGGGACAGTTGATGAACCAAAGTATCAACAAGGAATTTTCACAAATATGTCAAAGATATCAGTCCAATGTGCAGAAGGAAACAGAAATATAGTCAAAATGGCCCATGTGTTAATCAAACTAAAAGTGTCCAAGATAAAAGACATGTGGCATGAACTAGGCTCAATAATATGTTTCAAAGTGTATTTAGGCAAGAGTGCGTGCCTGCGAGCTACATTGTAGTGAAATCATCTGGTTCACATTTAACAAATTATTGACAACTTCAATTAGCATTATTGGAAGATTCTAACGTTCTTAATTCAACAATAAAAGAAATTGATAGCACATTGTGTGACAACCAATACAACAAATTATGAAATTAGACGCGATGGCAAGATGTTCATGGCAACCTTCCCAAAAATGCCTGAACAGAGAGCAATGAGATCATGTAAAATAATCATACAGTTGGTATCAATAATATGGAAAGGGTAGGGTGAGATGAAGAAATCATTACATTTTGGCCCCTGAGATTGAAAGCTTTGCTGTGTAACCTATCCTAGAGAGAGAAATGGGAAAAGGGGGAAAATGTTGTGGAGGGGGAAAATGGCACTCACGACTCTGACAAAAGGCAGTGAAGGTATGAGAAGGTGAGTAGAATTCTGGTAAGTCCTAATCTCACGGAGTGAGACACTTCCACGTCTGCGTCGACGCTTTCTCTGCGTTGCTGTAGCTTCCTCCGTGGCTCCAAAAGCCCGACCTGCAAACATCAAACACAAAACGCAACGCTCACTTAGAGCGAGAAAGAGCTAGCGAAGGGAGATAAATGGCCAGAGAGCCTTAGAGAGATAAAGCAAGAAATAAGATTAAAGAGGGGAGAGAGAGAGATGAGGAACCGCTTCGGGTTGTCCTCTTTTTGGAAGCCATGTGCTTGGTCCTCGCCATGGAGGAGAGAGATAAGATGTAGAGAGATAGAGAGCCCTCTGAAAAAAATAAGGTCCCGCTTCAAAGCAACTCCTTTGCCTTCCCGCCCAATTTCAATTGACCCCCATTCTCTCTCTCTCCATTCTCTCTCTCTCTTATTCGGCCCCTTTTGCGTCGGCTTTCCGTACCGCATGGGTATTTTTCTACAAAGTACACAATGAGCACATCGACCGTCCGATCAGAAAAGAGGAGGAAGAGATGAATCGTTCTACTGAAATGTGAGCTTGAACGGTGCCAACTGTACTGAGGCCCTTCCCTGCCATTGGTTTTCTAGACGGACGGTTGATTTGCACAATTTCTGAATGGCTCGGGGCTTTCACGGCAGTATTGTCAAGCTCTCATGGTGAGGTATTTAACTCTATTCTCACCAAAAAGGGGGGGCCTAAATCTTGACAAATTTACATGGGGCTTTCACGGTAGTATTCTCAATCCTTCATGGTGAGGTCTTTGACTTCAATCTCACCAAAAAATAAGGGCCTAAATCCATGAGGTTTTTTACTCATTCTCACCAAAAAATAGGGGCCCAAATCCCCACTAAGGTACCATTGCTCTTTGTGAATTTTGAATATCATGTTGCTCTTCAATGTTATTGTCAATTATTGTCGACCGAAAGGAAAAGGCGTTTCTGTATCCGGGGAAGCATAACTACATTTGCGTTCCCGCGGCGTTATGGAGTTGTGATCCCTTTAAAAAATGACAAAATTAACGGTTAAAATATTTGTTTCAAAAAAATATTTTTTTAATTTAGGTTTTTTTTTGCACATCCATGTCACAGTGTTAGAGATTATTGTCTAAAACTTAGGTCTAAAATCCATCTTAAAAACTGATCATGAAAATGAGATGCATATCTACATGTGAGTCCTAGTGTAAATCATGTAGATATGCATATTTACATGCATATCCATTTCAAAAATTAATAAGCTTGGAGATTTTTCCACCATTTCTGCAGCTCTCAGGCAAAATCATGTGCAGCAAAACCCTAAATATTCAATGAACATTACGCTTGTTTTTATAAATTAAAAAGTGTAGCAACATTTTGGATCAATACGTTAGTAAAATGAAGAAACATAGTTCATTTGTGACTCTAAGTAACCACATAATTTAAATGGTAAAATGAAAAATTTATAAAAAAAAAAATTTAGAGAGAAAAACAACCATTACCCCACATACCCCACAGTTGAGTTTCGGTGAGAGGGTAGCGGGACAACCGGTTGTAGAAGGAAGAGTTAGAGGGTTAGGGATCCGTTTGGTTTGTAGGGTGACGGCAAAATCTGTTTTTCCATTAAGTTGCAGCTTCGGGGTACCCGTAACTATTTATAAAATAATGGTAAAATGGAGAAAAAACGAATTATGACTTTCCCCAGTTTTATTATTCCCAAATTGAGAAAAACAGCAGTACAAGGGAAACTGTGCGACCTTCTCCTATTTTCTTTGTTATCAAACACCACTTGAGAGACCGAGAGTAGGGAAACTGGGAAATGGGATTTAAAAATAGAAGAGTGGAAGGATGATCTAAATACTATTAGGCCGCTAGATATCTAATAATTGTTTGTTTTTCTTTTCTTTTTTTTTAAAACAATTTAGTAGAGATGAAGCAGCATGAAGATATAGCTTAAGATATCATATTGTGGCAACCCACGATGCTCATTCCTATCTAATGGCTATTGTCAATGAAGCACCATGAAGAGAGAGTAAACTATAGTTTTATACGGTGAGATACAACAATGAGTTTTTTCAAAAAAAAAAACAAAAAAAAAAAAGAAGAGAGGAAAAGAAGAAAAAAAAAAACAAATGATCAGGATATCAGCTTTGCTTGTACTTTACTCTTTCATTAAAAGGGGAGCTTCTAATCATTAGGGCCATTTGGGTACCAAAAAATTTATTACATGATAATCAATTATGAGGAAATATGATATTTCCACAGTTTGGGTACACTTTATAATAAGGAGATGGAAAGAGATTACCCCAGATTTTCTCAAAAATCATGAAATACAATACATGCAATAAAAAGAAAAAAATCTATTTAGAAATGTTTGGCGTGTGTCTCTCTCCCCTAAGCCCGTCCCTGAACCCGGTTTGCATAAGGTGTCTCTCTTTAAACCTCTTCTTCTCATCTGTACTTTTTCTTTTTATCTTTAAGCCACTTTCTTTATGGAATTTTTCTTTTTCTTTTTTTTAAGCCCCTTTCTCTCTCTTTTTTTATTTTTATTTTTTAAAGTCCATTTACTCTCATATGGACTTTTCCATTTTCCGTCTCTCGTTAACATATCCATTCTTCTTAGCATATCTAATCAAATAGAAATTACACAGCACAATTATAATAAAAAATTTCACCCAATATAAGAAATTACACAACACAATTATAATAAAAAGATTTCACCCAGCATAATCCTCACAAAGAGATTAGTAAAAGCTCAATTGAAATAATATATCTCTTTAGTTTCCTCCAATACCTCAAAATTTTCTATTGCAATTACCCAACCTTCTAGTTTACTAATCAAACTTCTTCCCATTTTTTAACTTGTACCATAAAGATTTTTAATTTGGTATCCTAAATTTATTGCTTATTTTAAATTATATAGATAGACATTTGAAAGACTTCTATAATAAATAAATAAAAATAAGACTTATCACAATAAAAACATGTTATTCCAATCATATTATTCCAATGACTTATCATGTTGAAACCAAAGTCTAATCATGTATGCAAAATAGGTAAGAAACTGTGTGATGATGACTTTAGAATTGTACAAGTTATTATTAAAAAATCTATTTGGAATGGTGATGATGTTATTATTAGAAAATCTTTTTTAAATGATGTGATGATGATTTTAACTTCTCATTTCATTAGAATTTTATGACAAAAAAAAGAAATAAATGATAGTTTATAGGCAAGCGCTAGTAAAATGTTGGTAATGCATTTCCCATATTTCTTCCGGACATAACCAAACAGTAGCTATGTATTTTCCAGGTTGCATCTAAATACTACTCAAACAGTAACAATCTATTTGCAGGTAATGTATTACGCAGTAAAGAATTACGCCAAATATATATTTCTTTCATAGACAATATATTTCTAGGTATCCAAACGGCCCCTTAGAGCATAAGAGGCAATTTTCCATTATTATGGGTGGGAGAGGTGAGTCCATTTAACTTAGGGTGAGAAGGGGGAGGTGCTTGTGCTTGAGAAAAGATAACTTGGGGCCAAAACCATTAACTTTAAGCCAAAAAGTATGGTATGCAAAAAAAAAAAAAATTTGAGTCTTATACGAAATTTTTTAAATGCCTTTTTTGGGATGAGAGAATTTTGGATGGAAAGGTAAAAAAAACATTTGATGGCTAGGTGGTTGAGCAAGTGGATCGCCACAACATGATGTATTGAATTATATTCCTATTACAAATGAGGGAAATCCCACTGAACTACCCAAAAAGTAGGAATCGAGTTTGGGCTCGAGTGGTTAGTAGCACTATATCTTAAGTTCGATTCCTACTGTTGCACTAAGTAAAGAAAACAACCAAATGGTTTATAACCTCAATCGAGAGATTACTCTTTCATCATTTAAAAAAGCAACATGTTTGGGTACATCCAAATTGGCACAAAATCTTGCGATTGTCCAAAAGGTCCAAAGTTTGTTTCGCAATATTTTTCGATTGCAATTCAAAAATATTCCAATTTTGGGTACATCTAAATTGACATTTAGTGTTTTTTTAGTTTCGTGTTTCTTTTCATTGATTAATAGATATAGATTTGTATTGGATCACCTATTTCATTTTCTCCCTTCTATTTGTTTTTTTGTTCTTGATTGGTAGCACCAACTCATCGAAAATCCGATTGGAATAATATTAGTCATCATGGACTTGGAAGGAGTTAACAAAGGCACTTCAGAAATTGTGGGCACATGGTTAACAACAATGAAGAAAATATGCAGTTGGATGAAAATGTTAGTATTAAACTTGGCAGTATTATGGACACGGTTTCTATGAGTCCATGTAGAAATGAGTCCCCTCTTAAAGATTTATTTTTGAGATGGATTTTTGGACCCAAGTTTTAAGGACGTATAATTTCTAACATGGAGATCATGAATATAAAAAAATAAATAAAATTTTAAATTTTAAAATAATAATTTTATGAGAAAACATTTGAATCATTAGTTTTAATAGAGGGTAAACATTTGGATCATTAGTTTTAATAGAGGGAAAACATTTGGATCATTATTTTTAATAGAGAGACTGCCCATTTGCATCCATCCACCTTAAAAGATGGATACTTTATACCTCAGGGGACATAAATGTAGAAATGTGTCCTCCGACTCATGGAACAATTTTCCTATGGGTATGGGTAATGATGATGTGAAGATTTGGAAGGAGGTGACAATGTCAATGGCAATATTTGTGGGCCTCTAGAAAAGAAGAAAAATGTTGTAGATCCGTATATGAGAATGGGGTTTTTATCGGGAGAAGTACATGTAATGAAAATGAAAACAACATTGGATTTAGCATGTACACGTTGGAGGCTTTGAGAAGTCATGGCGCACGGTCATAATTGCTTGTAAGTTTGTGTTTGAGAGAAGGATTGTTGTATTTTTTGCTTTGGAAAAAATACCTTATCTTATTCTAGAATAATAACCCTGTTGTTCCATAGTATTTTGGAAGGAAAATTGTTTCATGCGGGTTGGACCATATTGCTACAATATGCGGTCCAAAGCTATATAGCATCCATCTTTAAGATGGATGCAAGCAGGTGGTCCATTTAAAAACAAATGTAACTAACGGTCCAAATGTTTTCTTAATATAATTATTATCCTACTTTTCAATTTCATTTTTTTTTTTTCATATTCATGATCTCCATGTTAAGGATTATATATCCTCTAAAATTTAGAATCAAATTATGTTTAAAAAATATATTATCTGCGAAGCCTGCATTTCTACAATATGAGGGCTGGAGCATCAAAACCGTGTCCATTTTGGAAAGTTTTACGCCTTGAAAATTGTGTTTTTGTCCTATTTATAGAGAGAGAAGTGTTGAGTGAATTATCCTACATTAAAGATGTGGAAGAGGGAAGCCTTGTTTAAATATGTAGATGTCTTATTCGCTTGTGTCCTAATAACCAAATGGAGAGAAAGGCTTCAAAGAACACGTACACGCGCTTGTGCGAGTGTGCAAGGGCGCTTTTTTTTTGGTCATTAGAAAAAAATGTGGTAATAAAAGTGCGCAAGGGCACTTAATGACGCACATTGCACTTCACATGTTTGCATTGGCATACCATCCCATGAAT